GAACTGCAAGCAAAGCAACAACAAACACGTCAAAGTGTGAATTTCGCGGGTTTCCTATCTTATAACGTGGGTTTCGGGTCATCCACAATGAAGAAGAAGACCGATGAACTTGTTTCGTTCGGTCGTTGTGAACGATTGGTTTAATATTTTAATGTGCAAACCACCGGCAACTTTAATTAATCATTTCTTTTCTTAAGAATTCATGGCAACATTGGTAAATTTTAGTAATTAAATTATATAGTATAATATTCCCTCTCCCATACGGATTAGAACTGCAAGCTGCAACACCCTGACCTAAAATCAACAAATTTCTTAACTGAATTTATGATTTTTTTTTCTTTTTTAGTGGGCTGAATTTACGATATTTGTTCTTTTTTTAAGAATGTTTTATTATTTTATTATTATTATTGAATATCTTACTAATTAAAAATGATTAAACAACGAGATCACTCACTAATTTTTAAGAAGTGAGAAAAATTAAATCCCCCACTTTACTTAACCAATTGTACTCATGTTAGCTTTAAAGTAATATTTAAATATATTAACGTGCATTTAATTAATGTATTTCAGACCCACAAAAAATTTATTTGTGAGTGTTCATTTATTTAAATACATAATTACATTAATAAATATTTATTTATTGTTTTTTCCCGTACTATTTTTAGTATTAGAGCTGTATATGCACTTACTTTCTTCAATCTCCTCTGAAAATTTAATTTCAAAAACTTTTATTTTTTGAACATTTTAAAATATCCTTGAAAATTTATTTAGTATTAAAAAAATGTTTGATAACATTTTAAAAGTTAAATCATGCATATTTACCAACTCCAATGGTCAAAGCAGCCTCACGTCAACCACGAGCCCCACTAACTACTTGAAAGCAGGTAAAATCCACAGGGTCGTATTCTTCAACACTTCTCTGCATTATTTATGCACCGATTCAGATTTTAAATATTAGAATTTAAAATTTTAAGAATACTATTTTGATCCCTAAATTAAAATTTCGACTAATATTCTATTTTGATCTTCATATTTTTAATTGTGGTTCGTTTTAGTTCATATATTTTTAAAACGTTTATTTTAGTCAATATACTTTATAAAAAATTATCATTTTAATCTTACATTTTCAATTTTATCTCACATATTTAATTTTTACATGACATTTCACACACTAATTTTATTAAATATGTAGCCTAAAAATTTACACTAAACATTTTCGTGGAATTTTTAAAAAGTTGGATCAAATTGGTGACTTTTTAAAGGTTAAAAAAATAAAATAGTACAAAAACTAAAATCCGAAAATTAAAATTTCAGATACTAAAATAAAAATATAGTTTACAAAATAAACCCAAAAAGTCTACCGTAGATAGAGCAAATAGTATTTAAAGTTTTAAAATAAATTTAAATTATTACAAAATTACTCTTAAAGAAAAAAACAGCTTTTTCCGTGTAACCGCACTTCTTCCTCCCACAAACACGTGGAATTAGCTCAATTAAAAAAAACAAAAAAAAAAAGGAAAAAGGAAAAAAGCTCAACAAACAACCGAAAACCTAAAGCCGCCTCCCAGGCCGGATTCGACAATCCCTTCCGCTTCAAATGTTGGAATTATCCGAAAGATCTGGAATCCCCAGGTCAACTCTTTATTTTTCTGTTTTATTTATTTCTTTTTAATATCCAAAAGTCGGAGCGGGTATCCGTACCCGTCCTAAGGCCTGGATCCGAAAAACACTATTTTTTTCTGTACTTTACAGTTTACAACCCCACTTGTTATTTTTCTCCATAAAGAATACCCATTCGCCATTCCCATTTGTAAATAATAAATAAACGGTTTCTCAAGGAGGGCTAGAAAATCTCTAATTTCCAAAAAAAAATGATGTGGAAAACATTTTTCAAAAATTAGTCCATATAAGCATTATTATAGAGTCAGTGTCTCTGATAGAAGAGAGCGGCAGTATGAGCAATAAAAGAACAATATAGAGAAGGAAAAAAAAAAAAGTTCCTCCAAAATCCAAATTAACTAATGATACTAAACTTATGGAATAATCCTCTGAGTTTGAAGACAGCTAACATATGATAAGCTTATGAGACATAGGCCTTGGAATTTCTTCAAGTGATTAGAAAATAAAACTATGAAACCTGAAATAATTCATAAATGGGTCTGGTTTGCACTCATTTCTTGGCCTTCTTACCAACCCTGCAAGAATGAAAGGAGACTATTAGCAATTAACCCCCTTGTTTCAAATAGATGATAATAACAATAAGTATAATACAAAAGCCTTCTCTTTTCTTTTCTTTTTTTCTTTTGGGGGTGAGGTTCTTACTCTGCTTGTTGAGTTCCTCTTTCTACAGGACCCTGTGAAAGCATTGTCACAAAACATAATTAGCCAACAGTATAGATAAATGATAAGCCCCGGGTCGCTAAGTTCTATACTTAAAGGAGGGGGGACCACGTGAGGGCGTGCGATTTGTGGGACCTCGAGAATATTGTTAGTTATGGAGGGAGTCATGAGATAAGTTTTTGGGGTGATTTAAAGTCGGAGGAATGAGAGGAGGGTAAGTTTTTGGTATCTTTTGTAAGGCTCATATTTTGAGTTTTCTTGGGAGAGTTGTGGAGCACTCAAACTTCGTTTTTGGCCTGTTATTATAAATCAAATTGGGTTTTAACAATAGCAAATTGGCAGTGTGCATTCAGTACCCACCCACCAACCAGAGGTTCAAAACTAATTAATGACTCCATGGCTAGAAACTAAAGGTTAACTAAAGATGCAAGTTACATGCCATAGTTGATATTTCCCAGCAACTTCAACAACAATGTTTTCAACTACACGGTAATTTTGAAATCCAGCTCTTAAGACTTACCTGTGCTAAACGTTCCTCTCTTCTCGCAATCTTACGTTCTCGGCTTGCCTTGTTCTTAGCGCGCTTGGCCTCAAATTGATCAGAAAGTGTTTTCTCTCTAGCTTTTTCAGCTTTTGATTTGTGAATACTCTCCATTAGAACTCTCTTGTTCTTGAAGACATTACCCTTGACCTTCATATACATGTCATGATACATGTGCTTGTCGATTTTTTTGGACTCCCGGTACTTACGAAGAAGACGCCTCAGTACACGCATTCTTCTCATCCAAAGAATCTTAGTCGGTAGCCTTGCCTCCCTGGTTCCCCTGCGCTTACCTTAATATAGCAAACAGCAAATATCTTAAATGTTCACAATAACATCAGAGAAGTGCACTCTTCACCTGTCTCACGTGCACTAAAGACACACTTTCTAGTAATATATTTTGTTAATTCTATTAGATACACCACTCCTCAAGACATACCCAGCAAACCACCAGTGAAAGAAGAAACTCACACAAAATAAACAAATCATACCGTATCCTGAGTGACGTCCTTTCCTCTTGGCTTCCGTCATTCTGCGGGCACGCGACCGAGAATGAATCTTGGTTGGTTTTCTGATGATGAATCCATCTTTTACTAGCTTCCTGATGTTTTGCCCTGTAACGATCAATACAATTGGAATATATATAATAAATGTAGGGAAACACAAAATATATTAACATACGAAACCAAGAAATCATTGGTAGAATAAGCTGGAAACCCAGAAAATAATCAAAGAGATACAATGTTAAGACCAAGAGAGACATGATCGATTAAACAAAAAATCAACGAAAAATTTTCAGAATGTTTAATGACTTAGAATCCAAACTTGGTAAATAAAGAATGTATTTCATTCAGGAAAATATTGAACAGAGACGCAGTATAACGAATGACGTAAATGAACCTTAATCATCAAGCGCATCCAAATTCCAAATAGGCAATAGAAAAATGCACCAAAAACTCATTATTAGAACCATAACGCGATATTAGATAGTCTCGTTTTTGTGTTGTATTGAAGAGAATCAGAGAAACGTTTGGAATAATTTGCCTATTTGTACGGGAATTCGATACAGCGAGGAATTATCATGTAAGGAAAATTGAAACTCTGGAGATGCTTCATATTTCCAGATAATCAAACTAGCACCGAAAGCAAGCGATATCGCGATCCATAGAAATTAGGGCATTCCAGTGAAAAGTTATTGATTCAATTGAGCCCTAACTGCAGAGCAGCAGCAATTGGAATCCGAGAAAGTAATGGCGGAAGAGTGATGCGATATAGGTAAACCGTAAACGTACTTGAATTAGCCATTGAGATTTCGTTGACTTCATTGGGATCAAGCCAGACCTTGCCCCCTCCACACTTGAGGACGCTAGCGGCGAGGCGCTTCTGAAGCTTCAGTGATACCATTTTTCCTCTGCGATTTTGCTACTGAAAGAGAAACGACTGGAAGGGTTTTTATCATATTTCTATAAAATGTTGGTATTTATATATTAATTGGAAACCCAATGACATGCTAGTATTTCATATAAAATTCGTTTGGTAATGATACAATATAGTCAAATACAAAATATTAGTTTATTGTGATGTAAAAACAATTTATTAGTTTGGTAATGATAAAGATGAAACTAGTTGGGAGGGATTCCTGTGTCTAAATATGATATTGTTATTGTAAATGTTAATTAGTTAAAGTTATATTATTATTTTTTTTTTTAAATTCGAACTCACTTACTTTAGTCGAGATATATGTTTTTAGCAGAGTTATAATCAGATTGACAGGTAATTTTAGATGTTTTTAATGTTAAATTAGTCATTTTGTCGTAGAAAATGCGTGTATTTTTCTTTCCTATTACTTATTAGATTTTGTACGTCAAATATAAGTGTAGATCAATTGGTTAGGGTACCTATCTCCAATTCCATCGTGAATTCAAATCTTCACCCCAATATGTTGTACTCAAAAAGAGGAAGAGAGAGATTTTGCAGGATTGAATTTATACATTTATTTAGACCTGAATTTAATTGTTTTATCAATTGAATTTTGTGTTATTTATTAGTTAACTTACAGATAATTATTTTGTTTAGTTTGAAAAAATATTAATTTCAATAGTCATTTATTATAAAAGAATCACTAATCATTCGCCAAAGCAAACATAGTTCGATATTAATTACATATATCTTAAACGAAAAGGTGAGGCGTTCAATCCCCTACTCTCACATATTATACTAAAAAAATCAAGGATGAAATTCAACTTTTTATTTAGGTTTTCTTTTTTCTTTTAACTTTTTAAATGTTCAATCCTTCAATAAATATCCCATTGGGTCGTATTTGGGCCAGCTTTAGTTTCTGATCATTAGCCCACTGAGTCCAAAAAATCGAAATCGAGGCCCATATGAGCCCGGCCCACGAGATTGAGACGGCGGACCATTGCCGTGAGCGAATTGGTCTAGCCGCGCCTTTTGAACACGCGGCGCTTTCGGTTTCCAGTGTCGTGGCGTGGCTCATCCGCCATCTCGTTTTCCTCGCTTGATTTTCCTTCTCCTTCTTATATTCAACTATTTCAATCCCTAGATCTCCTGTCTACGAAATCCCAATTTTCCATTCGAATCCTTCCACTTCCATTGCAATGGATTCCTCTCTGGTCGCTGGAACGCTTTCGATGGCAGCCAACAATGGCCTCGGCTTTGCCAAATTCCTCAATCGCCTCGATTTCGTATCGAACTACTGCGTCTCTGCCTCCGATTCAATCACCGAGCAGATTCCACCATCTTCCGCCGCCGGAGCCCTTCAATTATCGGCCGCACTGTTCCCCGTCGCTACCATTGCTCCACCGCCTGTCAAATCGATTTCTCGCCGATCGGCCTCTCGGACGTTCCTCCGGAGAAAGCGTCGTACGAAGCGTAGATTATACAGCGATGACTCCGAGGGCGGCGAGGACGACGGATTCGGCGGCGATAATTTCGACGGATCGTACGGCGGAGGCGGAGGCGGGAGTGGTAGGGGTTGGAATTTCGACAGATTTGGGGGCAATGATTGGGACGAATCATCATCGTCTTCCTCTCCTTCAAATCCCGCGTACTATTTTGTTTACGAGGTGGTTTGCTGGATCGCGCTCTCGAACTGCGTGCATTTTGCGTTCAAGAAGGTTGTTAGATTTGCAGCTGATGCAATTGGGAACTCCGAAAGGGGAAAATTGTCCATGAGATTAATCTCGGTTTGTTGATTGGTAAAATCCTCTTCTCAATGGTCAACATTTGGAAGAAAAAGCTGGCATAAATCTCTCATATTCAATTGCTATGTATATCTTGTAAATATTCACATTGTTTTATCTTAGAATTGGTTCCACATTACATATGGAGGAGATATATGCCAAAGCAATCTGGTATGCATTTGTAAATATGCATTTATAATCTATTCCCAAGTAAATCAGTTCCACACTAAATTGGTGCCTCTGTTGATTGGTTGATCTTGAGCAAACTTTTTACTTCACAATTGAATGGATGTGCATTTATGTTCTTCCTCAGTTCCTTCAGGCATTTGGTTGATCTCCCTGTGGCTGGTGCTTATCATTCTTATAATGGGTAAAAGTTTTAGAGTTCCAGCCAGTGAAGGAAATCTATGGGCGGAAAACATTTGCTTGTTTTTTCACCCATTGGTTTTGACTTCTGACTGACTCAGAAACTGCCTGGTATCATCTCTTGTCATGTCTCTTTGTTTCGTGTCAACGGTCCATTTGTTTTTAATGCACAAATTTAAACCGAACCCTCTGTAAAATCTTTGTTACAATGATTTAACTTCTGTAATTGGGTTGTTAGAATCTTTGTTATAATGATTTTTCCTAACTTTCATATCTTTTAACTTGTATCTCTATAGGTTGATTCCCCATTTTTCCCTTCCATTTAAGCAACTTGAGGACTGGTCTGTCTCTTTTCTTTTTGAGTAGCAAAGTTTCTGCTCTGTTTGCTGCGATTGAGATTGATCATCTATCACTTCATCAGCTCATAATTCACAGAGCTTTTTTACTTTTGTTTTAAATTCAATTTTCTTTTACTTTCAATACTCATATGCATCATGTATAGGAACTCTAGAAAGATTGTAGTAGAGAGAGTTTTGAAGTTAGTTGTAAATGTCATAGTTATTTGAAACTTCTTCTGTTCCAATTTTCATATTTGGGAGCTCAAATTTTGACTGGTGGGTATTCTTTAAAACTGAAATCTGTAACCTGTTCATATAATCTAGTTAGTAAATGGAAATCCATTGGCATTATTTAGGTTGTTTATCCACTGGCTATGGAGAATCGTGGTGGGGATTCTCTGAGAATTTATTGCTATTTTTTTATTATAGAGCATATTGGCCTACACTTGGGAATTTGGATAAGGTCAGATGTCAATAGATTTTTTTCCTTCGCCTTCTTGTCCGAGGAATAGCCTCCACCACTTGTATTGAGGGAGATTATATATATTTTAAATTTGATTCTTCTCTTGAAAAATAAAATTACTGGGGTTGTAAAACTTTAGGGATAATCATTTTTTTAGAGACAATTTGCAAGAAACGATTTCAAGTTTGAAGGAAAATCGATTGCTTTAATATAGTCAATTTCACTTATTGCTCAAAATAGTCTCTTGAAAGCATTTTTACTTATTTCCTTAGAATTCTTTCATCTCTTGACTGAAATCTGAATGTTTGTTTCTCAACTCTCATCCTTTTGCACAGCCACGTCCATAAAGTACACCTAAAATTTGTCCTCTTCTCGTATTACGTAACTATGAAACTTAGTGAACGAAATAATCTTATGCAAATTAATTTTGTTAGTTAAAGACGAATAATAAAGTAATATTCAAAACGTTAAGAATGTACCCGTATGTCATCAGCAGATGGATAATGAGGTTCAAAGTTCAATTCTCCGTCTAGTGTAACTCTACCTATGGTTTGCTTTGGGACAGAACAATTATAATTAGGCTTCGTAAATTGGAAGGTATATTATCCATATCCGGGTCTTTCAATTGAGAAGATCCATCGACCTAAGATGAAGAGAAAAGTCTATCTATTTTATTAAATCAATGATTCGTTATATTATTGTACGGGTCTTAAAAAAAGTTCAATTTTCTACCATACATTGAATTTAATTTAAATCAATTTTTTTTATAACGAAATGGTCTTTTTATCCATAATTACTAATATAGGGATGGCTGATATAACTGTTAACGTTTCTATTTTCACATTGAAATGCTTATATTCAAACCGTTAAAAGTGGCGGTATCAAATAAACACTTTACCCCTTACCTTATAGTCAAATAGTTTTTTTTAATACTCACCGAGTCTAATTCTAATTGTTTTGTTTCGAAGCAAACCATGAGACGGTTCATCCTATTCAGATATTCACGACCAAGAAACACTGGATTCTCTTTTGGGTAGACCCTGAAAGGAGAAGGAATGTTGGAATGCCAACCGACGTCTATTATTGAATTCACCAAACTCGATAGTATCCCATTTTTGGAACGTCCAGCGCCAAAGTCACTGAAGGGTAGGAGTGGAAGATCAAACTCACAACCTTTTGGCTAAAGATATATGTCAATTATCGTTGAACTATGCTCGCTTTGAAATATCATTAAATGGTTTAATTGTTACATCCAGAAAACACCGAAGAAACATTGTTTTTGGTTAAATTAATTTAGAAGCAAACACAAAGTGGCCCAACCAAGGGTAATTGTTTAAGAGTAATTTGAAAAGGAAGAAAACTAATTAATTAATTGGGTGAAATGGATGAGTTTGATTGATTTCAAAGGACGACATGCAATAATGAAGATGTCAAGGCCATTTTGATTTTTGAAATCACCCAAAGAACAAGGGAGAATTTGAGTTGATTAGATTTGGATGCTCCCTCTTTCAACCGTCGTTTTGATTTCGGGCCCCACTTGGGATTGCTGTGGGACCCACCTCCCAGTTTCCGTTCATGCATCTTCTCTTATTCTTCCTTGTTGTTATTCGGCAGAGATTTTTTTTTTTTTTATAAATTATTTTCAATTATTTCGTCTCAGTGCTCTTCACGCCTATGCTTCTTATCTGAGTTGCAACTTGCAAACATTAGTCTTAGATATATCACACACGCTTGTCACGATAATTTTCATGTCAATGTCCTAAGAAAATAATATCAAAGTCTCAAATAAGTTAGAAATCAGTATTTAGGTTCATATCATTATTCCTTTTTCCAAGGAAAAATATCTTATTTTCTTAAAAGCAATCTATTTAAGTCGAAATCGATAATTGTGGAGAAATGCAAGAAGACCTATGTTAGGTGATAAAAAAAAACATGACACATGAATCAATAAGAGTTAGTTCAGCCATAAAGCTCACATCGACCGTAAGAGATAGTTCGGCCATAAGAGGTACTTCGACCAAGAAATACCTCGTTCATGATTCAAAGCTCAGGCAACAAGGATGAGTTATATCACAAAAACACTCAAACCATCTTTCCGACAACATGCCGTGATTTACGGTATGGTTGTGACGGCTCCTCAACCACTATCGGAAGATCAACACCTATAAATAGAGTCGTTCATCTCACTTTTCAAGTATGCGAAACTATTCTCTCTCGAGCAATATAATGGATCGAATCGAGAGACTAACTTGAGCGTCTGAGTTTTTTACTTTCTCTTTGCACGTTCCTTCATACATCAACCACCTAAGTTCGAGCTTCACAAAGTTGATCATTTTCAAGATCAAACAACTTGCAAAATAGAGGTAAAGTACTTCGACGATCTAATCAATCTAAATTCAAACTATTTTGTCTCAGGACGAGCAATTAAATTTGCTTACATGCATAGGAAGTGAACTATGATATTTATAGGCGTTTAGAGATAAGAATAGTTATTCGGCCACTTTACACATCTTGTGAATGTAAGTGTGAATTGAGCGATTATGGTGGTGGGTAGAAGATTTGAATGGATGGCCAATGGTTGATCGATAGCTTTGGATTGGTTGAACGATAAGAATTATAGGTCGAACCTGACAAGTCATTCGAAGTGTTATTTACTGGAGCGGACACAATTCTTATTCTTACACGTGGCATATCATTATACATCATCCAACATAATCAATACAACATATAGGAATAGTCTCAATATATTTTAATAGAAATAAGTGTCTTGATCAATTGATTTATGTTTTACGATGTTGCTTATTAAATAGGCACAGGTGATCATACTTTTAACAATTGTGGCGACATGGGACAGAGTAAGATGTCAGAAAAGAGTCAAACACAATGACCATTTGAGCAAAGATAAAGTATTAATAAAACGCAGAGCGGTGAATATTAAAAACAAAGGGAGGCACGAGGCAGTCTGATACACGAACCGACATATCGTTCCGAGAGACAAAAGTAGACCAAAAATACACCACAACGAGTGACACATATCGCTAACTTTTATTGAATCTCCAAATATGATATATCTACAAAGTACAAACCAAAACACAAAACATAAAATATTACACACGTGCAAAGCAGTGAACGACATGTCGGACGCACGAGTCAATCTGAGTTAAACCAGCTGACCCAATTGCTGCCGATTCAGCGACCGGTCGTCCATCATCCAGAGGTCCACAACGACTCGGTCGAACTCGTCACTTCCCCCGAGTTGACTCAGCTGTTGATCCTCACCGTCCAGACCCAAGAAGGATGTCAAATTCGAAATCTGCTCTTTCAGCTCAAACCCACTCGCCAATTCATCGCCGTAGTAAATCCCGTCGTTGTACGAGTTACTCGTACGGGAACGCGTCGGTGGACCGGTGGTATTTAAACCCTCCCGAGTCAACTCGGGGAGAACGCACCGCTTTTTGGCCGGAGCTTGAGGCTGAGCCGCCGGGGCAAAGTTGAGCTTGGCCTTCTCGCCGCGGATCCGTTTGGCGGCTTCGTCGTACGCTCTGGCGGCTTCCTCGGCGGTGCTGAAAGTTCCGAGCCAAACCCGAACGCCTTTTTGCGGGTCCCGAATCTCCGCCGCCCATTTCCCCCACGGCCGCTGCCGGATTCCTCTGTACAAATTCTTCCGAGTTTTCCGAGGCTTCAACTCGATCCCCTCCGCCGCCACCGCCGGAGATCGTTCTCTTTTCTGAGGCTTCTCACTTTTCACTACAAATCCGTAACCAAAAATCCAAACCAATCACATTTCAATACCGACGACAATCGAAATTTCCATTCCTTTCAGGAATTTTTTACTAATTTATCTATTCTCCTTACATATCATAAAGGAACAATTTCTTTTAAGGAATCGCATTATTTTTACAAATTTTATGGGATATTATATGAACAAGTTGATGGTTCCGTACAATTTAAAAAGGGAAAATCGAATAAAATCAAATCATGGAAAGAGTAAAGAGTATTTTATTTACCAGAGGAGAAATCGAGGCCGAGAAGATCGGAGAAAGGATCGATTTCGGACCAGAGATCTCCATTACTGAACTTCCGGCTACGCTTTTTTTCTATAAAATCAGATATGATGGCGCCACCGCACATCTTCGCGTCCAATTTCTTTTAAGATTCTCAGGGAAAGAGAGAGAGGTTTTGGGAGAGAGTTCATATATAAATAATGATATATATAGGAAAAAAAATGAGAGAGAGAATGGGCCTTGGATTTGGGCCGTAAAAATGTAGAGCGGCGGTTTCAAACTCGGGTATGCAAAATTCGAAATAATTGCGCCCAAGTACTCGAAGACCTATAAAACAGGTTAATATAGTCCGTGCATAGTTTCATCTATACTCAGGGAGATAGATATATTTCGCATACATTTTGTAAGGGGTGAATTACTCTATTTATAAATGTGAGTTTCTAATCAGATTTTCGATAATTTTGGATCAAGTTGTCTTATTAGATAATATGTTTGTTACTTGTGTTCTCTCGATTATTCTTTAACATTGACTCGTATATGTTATAGATCAGCTGGTATGTAAAATATGCAAGTAGCTTAGCTTATGGACATCGAGCTGAGAATACTTAACTTTATCTTGGACATCTTGAAAATTATTGTCTCCTGATACGTGGCGGTCGATAAATTGCCTCCAACAAACCGAAACATTGAATTTTAAGATGATAATAGATGTTTTATATGTTAAAATTTTGATAAATATATATTTTCTTTTACAAATTAATCTTTTTTTTATCCATCTCTTTTATTTGTTAAAACTTGACGGTGGTCCATAAAATATGGTTGTGATCAGCACTCAATCATTATTTTATTAGATTATTAGTTTATTATTTCAGTTAGATAGTTTATTCAGATTAGTTGTTCTAATCTGTTTTGTATTCAGTTAGTACTTTTTGAGAATGTAAAAATAACGTGGAGTATTTTCCCATATTTCGTTCTAATATATTTATTTAATACCGTTTTCATGTATTTAATTCATTAAATACGTTTTAATCTTGTGTCTTATACGTTATTGACATATTATATATTTTTTTAAAAAATTAATAGAGGATTAATCAGCAAAGTTGTCGAAACTTAAAAACCGACAAGTCGGGTAAGCTTTTACATCGAAGCTTGTGAGCTAAGTCTGAGTGAGACAAAAATGGAAACCGTAGCCGTCCAAGCCAAAAACCAAGGTTGCCTATTATGGAATTATTGCCTCTTGCGATTGCAACTCCATCCACTAATTTTCGAATATGAAGTTTTCTAATTTGATTCATTTATATTTTATTTTACTTTAAAAGAAATTTAAATATTATATTTTAATCTTCAATATTTACATTAAAAACAATTATTTCTTATCTTTGTTTTTTAATAATTTATTCAACAAAATTTTCTCTTGAGATAAAATTGTAATGCTGGAGAGAATGGGTATATAAATGAACCAATATCAAAAATTGATAGTCACTATTTATACTAACAATGTACACTTTCGATGGTTCAATTATAAGTACTCCAAAGTTAAGTATGATTGGTTTGGAACAATAAAACATGTTGAAAGGACGTACCCATATTGGTACGTGTGGATTTGTTTTCACCCTTCTAAGTAGCTTAGATAGAGACAATGGCGCAACCAAATCATAGGGGATGTAGGGAGACGCTGAAGCTGATTAGATGCCGAATCTATATTTTAAATTTTGGGTCTAAGACGTTACATTAATAAAAAATTGTATGGGCAAAGTATGAGTCTCCATGTAATAGGTAATTGTGAGATATCAAATTATAGCAAATAATTAATAAAAATCAAATAAACTTCACTAGATTTGAATAGTTTAATATGTATTTTAAAAATTGGTGCAACTTTATATTATTTTCACCCAAAATTGCGACGTTTTCTAGTGGGGCTATATATTGTTCTATATTTTAAAAAATATATTTATTTTATGAGATTGATACCATTTATGTAAATATCACAAAGAATTAATTATGAGATCCAAAATAGATTGGATGAATAAATAAAAGAATAATTAAATAGTGTGGGGGCTAAATTAAAATATTTGAATTTACAAAAAATTAGAGGTTGAAATTTGAATCAATGATTTAAATTTAAATTAGAAAACACCCTGCGTGTGATGTAATGTAACGTCTTTTAATCATTTTTCTCTCTTTTTTTTTGTTTAAATAAATATTTAGGAAAAGATAAAAAGTTAAGAGGCGTAATGAAGAGATTCTTTACTTTATGACGGTGACCGTACAGTCTGGCAGTTTTTGAAACGCGTGAAAAGCTGCTTCCTTGTTAGGAAGGTATTGCGACGAAATTGTTACGTGGCAGATTCTGAATGGTCTTTTACAAAGAATCGTACGTCGGTAGGATTATTTTAATATTTTTAACCGTGCATGGAAGAAAACAATAGGGTTATTTATCAGAATTGGTTTGGAAAATTTAATGAATACAAGTATCCTCGTGGGCTCATATTATTACTTGATTAAGTTAAAACAGAAAAAAGAAAAAAAAGAAAGGAGAAAAAATGGACTAGGATAAGAACTAAGAAGTCCTACTTTGATATAATAAACAAAGTCTGCTAGTATTTTCAGAAAATAACTTTAAATAGGTTCATCGTGACGAACAAGTTGCAAACGAGCATTTGTCAATGATCTCAAAGATTAACAAAGACAAGATTTTGTCGAAGGATTATGTACTTGTAGCTCTATTGCCGGTGAGCTCAACTGTTGCGTTCGAGTAAATAGATCTCCACAAATCTGGTTAGAGGACCACCTTCAGTGGTCAATAGTACTGTCACACTTTCTTTATATTTGTTTTGGAAAAAAACTTCAAATAGGTTCCGATTACACCCATAACATCTATTTTATTTGATCTTTAATATGATTTTAAGCAAATATATGAAACATAACGATGAAAAAGTTGTCTGTAAAACTAAGTTTGTGTAATATCGATTCCAAATCTGACATGTGAGTAAATAATTTGTAACATTAATATATAACGTTAAAAAGCCAATTTCGCAAACTCCAAATTTATTCAAGAGAGCATAAAAGAAATATGTATTCTTAGATACAGCAGAAAATTTGAAATTATACAAAAAAAACATATTCTAAATATAAATCAAACTCTAGATAGAAAAATGACACATACCCTATATTTGAAAAAAAATTAAAAATTATTTTCTCGAATACATGTTAAAATGGATGCTATCTTGTGAAATTTCTCATTAGTTTGCTATAAAATGTTATATGGTTCATATTTTTTTCCCTTGAGGAATAATTTATAAAGTTAGTAAGATTAACAAACCCATCATTTATGAGAATCAAAGTCACATATAAAACGATTTATAACTATGACTTTATGATTTTGGAATTGTATAAATGTAAGCCTAATATTGCCAAGCAATTTTTGATGGAAGAGAATTGTAATGTATGGAACAAAAGTGGCAGTGGCAACTGGAAGTTGATAGAGTTGATGACGTAACCATCTTTGAAAATGTAAAGTGAAGGAAGTAGATATGATGAATTGCATAACAAACAAAACTGCAGCGTTTTCTTTCCGAAGCATACTGAAGATAAATAAAAAATAAAAAAAATAAAAATAGCAGCCTTTTATTCATCCCATTCCTTTTTCAACACGTAGCCAAGTCAGTTCTTAGCCAGAACTAACGTGTCTGACTTTGATTCGTTATTATTAATTTTTCTTTTTTCATAAAATAACAAGAATATTTTTTTCCAGTACAAACAAATGTGAGATACTCTTAAATTATGATAAAACTGACATCTAAAAAATCTAAATTTTTAGAAGAAAAACAAAATTACCTTTACATTATGATTTTACCAAGAGTGAATTTCATCCATTTATTGATAGATACATAGAATGGAATATCTTAAAAGAGATATAATGAAATTGTTTATTGGATTGATGCCTAAGTGGTTAATGGGATGAAACGTAAATTTATTGACAATAGATGTATGCTAGTTCAAATCCAAATGAACCTTTACAAATTTTTAAAATATTTGTATACCATGAAAGTATATAAAAATAAAAATTAAAAGAGAACGTAGGATTTACCTAAATCAAACAATGACCGTTAAATAGAATGTTTAGGATGGGTGAACTTTGTTTTAAATAATATATATTTTCGAACTTCTAAAAGGATTTTAATATATAGCCAAATGAGAATCAGACGATATTTTTGAAAAGTATTTCATTGAGTGAGTTTCAAATTAAATGTTTGTTTTATTAACAAAAAAAAAAGTAGGAAAAAAATAAATAAAATGCAAAATATTTCTTCCAACAGAATTTTAAATATTTTGGAAATAATATATTTTTATTACTTTTTTGTTTTGTTTACATTATAGTAAACACCACATAAAATATGAAAATGTCCAGAAAAATGAGGCCCGTAACTGTTTCAGCCCAAGTTCTTATGTTTCTACTCTACGTTCTACAAAACCATACATAGAATATTTTCAAAATGACATAGAAGATGCAAGTAAACAATAGTTCTCTTTTCAAATTTTATTTGAATTATTTGACAATTTGGATTCTGTCATAACATAACAGTTAAAATTAAGAATATAGAGCCAACCCGAGTACAAATCAAGTAATTAAGCACCGGTACTTTTCCTCAAGTAGCATGCACTTATGAAAAAGGAAAAAAAGATGGAGAAAAACAAAGTTCAATAACACAAATCAAACCCAGATCAAAATTCTGATCATTCAGATAAAACTAGATGGCAAATTTCTCAAGTTTGATCATTTCTGAAGGTAAAGAACAAGATAACATCCAAGTAGGAAAGGTTAATGTAGTTCAATAACACAGAATCAAACCAAGATCAAAATTCTCATAATTCATAGGTCATTGTTACTTCTCAAACTGGTGGTAAACAACAAGAAAACATCCAAGTAGGAAAGATTAATGTAGTTCAATCATTCCCAATAGTTTTGATGTCTGGACATAATGATAACGAATGAAAGAAGATCCAGATACAGCATTAAGGATTCCAGTCAACATACTAAATATTTCACATTTTCATGCATTTATATGCTAGATATATAGAAATATATGACTTGAATATTTAGAATGTTAAATGTTAATGCGTTGGATTCCAAACTCTCCTAGATTAGTAATGCATTAAGGAGTGGTAGAAATCTTGACAAACCTCGACATATGATGTGTAGTCTTCATGCATTGATGAATCACTAAATATTCACATTTTCATGCATCCATCAATCACGGATTGCTCTTATTAAAATCTCCTAGATTTGTCGAGAAACCTCCAACGCCACTTCGAGCTGTATTTTGGCCATCCATGGATGGTGGTGGCTGTACTGGATCTCTCTGGTCTTGACCCCAGCTTTGTCTCTGAATTGGTTGTCTCCGTTCAACTTGCATAGTTTCTCGCCGTCTATCATACCGTGGGCGAGGCCTATTTCTACCTGTTTGCTGTCTCTCATTGTACCTATACTGGGGTCTGGGGATGACCTTTCCATCAATAAACAGATCCCCTGAAATCAACATGAATGATTTGTACAAGAAATGAGCATTTGGCTTGAGATATTAACTGATTTCAATGTCAATCAATTTAATAGAGACAGAAGAATGATCACCTCCGTAATCTTTGTTTGGAACATCGAGATATGAATCGGGTAAAACCCATAGAACCCCTGGCAACTCTGTTCATCGGGAATGAAAGTCTCAAAGTTAAAAACCAATATTGTTCTTAACAAAAGCTAAATAGAAATGATCACACAACAACCCAAATGTCAACCTGAGACCTCAATGGTCTCTGACTCTCATATATCATTATAACTCGGTAACACACAAATGATCAAACTAAAAATCGAGTTGATTCTATCAGCAAACTTCAAGATACAAAGCAAATTTTCTGAACCATTCAGACATTCTCAGGGTACTTTCATCAAACACATTGAGTGCTTAAGCTCAAAACTACACTTTCAGATCTTCAATCGTAATCCAAATACTTGATACAATTCCAATATCGACAAATCGAGGAAATCAAATTCACAAGACTCCTCAATCTAATCATATACCACGCATAAGTCCATAAACTATTACCTTTCACTTTGTAAGAAAGCTCTTCCGAAATCAAGGCACCAAAGCCAGTATACGTAGTTGTACTAACTGAATATATTTTCTTCTTTGCCTCTTCCTCGCTGAAAATCAGAAGAAAATGAAAAACCTAAAATCAATAGAGACACGCCAATAAGTAATCCGTTTTTAATCCGTTTTCAACCATACCTTCCGACAACAGCGGCTAGAGTTTTGATATAAGAATTCACCATCTCCTCCTCCGAGGGTTTAGGGTCATTTGGAAACTCCAATACTATCAGCCAGTGCTCGTAATCACAGCCATCGAGGAGTATCGTCTCCTTTGGAGGCCGATTGCTCCAATTAGGAGAAGGATCGTTGAGGGGAGAGTATCCAGATCCCGAAGTCTTGAACCGTATAGGAAGATTGAATGCGTTGGGGGCTATTTGACCCAGTCTGTTGATCAGAGCAAAAGCGAATCGCAGGCGAGAAGAAACGGGCGACGAAAATGAGAAGGAAGAGGAGAAGCTTCGGCTTCGGGTAAGGACGGTGAATAACGTGCGCCGAGTGGCCGAGGAAGCCATAGCCGAGAACTCGAAGGTCGCCGGAGCTAGAGTTGATGGCGGGAGATAAAGGACGTTTCGGTGAATTGGGGATTTTAGGGAGGTTTGGGAAAAATGAAACACGTCGCACGGCGTCGTTTAGTCCATCATGGTGGTGATGAAATAAAAACTGAAAAGTCAGCCGTTGGCTATTATGATCATCAAACGGCGTCGTTTCTCTATTGTGTGGGTGGTGAAAATGTTTATTTCCTAATTTTGAATGGAGATAAAGATAATCGTGCAAATTTGATTTTTTTTTATTTAGTACTCCAAAATTGAAATATATTTTCCTATATTCGTATTATTTTGTTCGGAAAATATAAGGTATTTATTGAATTTAGCATCTACTAAATTAAATGTTTGAATGTTTTCATACATGATGTGAAATAACTCAATATTCTTTTACTAGAATAAACCGTAACAAAAAAAAAAGGTCATAGTTTTAATTTCTCATTTTGGTTATCACCTGTGCAATCGATTGAATCAAATGGGGAACACTTGTTTTTTTCTTGGGAAACATGTATTTATAAAGTGAAACACATCAACAAAATAAATAAATAAATAAATATATATATATATATGTGTGTGTGTGGAAGCATTATTAAGAAAATTTCTATGAGATTGGATACTTCAAATTTTGTGAATTAGATTGATTTTTTCTTTTCCATATAGAAAAGTTGTTTTTTTCAGTAGACTTAAAATAAATTATAATTAATGTATTTTTTCGGTTAAATTAGTGATTTTTTAGAGGATTGTAGAGAGAGAGATTTGGTAAGCAGCAGGAGTTTCAAATACCATGCATATTATATGATATATATAACAAGCTTAATATCTATTTTGCAGTTAAGTCCCCATATTTATGTATGTTTATATTATCACCACAGCAGCAGTTCTAGAGAGATCAGAAAACAAAAACAAAGCTATTCATTTGGATTTTGAATAAGCACGCCAAGTTGTTATGACGATCCCGCCGCGGGATTTCGCCACCTGATTGCAGTTAACCGGCGCCGGTTCTTTCTTCTTCCTCGGGGGTTGCTCCGCCGGACGCGGCGGCTGAGGAATGGCCGGCCTCGCCGCCGCCCTCCTCGCCGCCGGTCGCCCGAAGTATTCGTCGATCAGTTCGAACCCTTCCCTTCCGATCTTCGCCAGGTCAGCACGAGCAGCCATCTCTCTCGCTAATTAATTTAATTTCTGAACTTTTTGTTTTTCGTTTGCTTTGGTTTGTGAAGCTTCAGGGATTTGTCCGTTTATATAGAAGAAGCTTTTAAGAAAGCCTTTCCTACATGGCCAACTTGTGGGCCCCACAAGAGAATAATTATGTTATAATTTAGGAAGATATTTGGTTTGTTAGATTAGAAAGTAAAATATTGGGTTTTAAGAGCAATATGGTAAAGGGATTATGAATATTTGGGGTAACTTTTTCGAATAATAATATACTTTTTTTGAGAAATAGAATAATAATATACTTTAACATGAGATTTGTGTATTAATATTTTAATAGATTAGTGTATGCTTGATATTGGTACGTTTGGTAGCTTTCTTTTTTTTTTAGGAAACATTTGGTAGCTTTCTGTTTCGATTTTCTCAATTTTAACATAGAACAATAGAATTTAGGTTCAACACTCATAAATTATGAATGATAAAATAATATTTTTTATTTACGTTGTGTAACCAATAGAAAACGAGAATAACAAACCAAATTTATTTTGCTGTTTTCAAAATTTTTATACAATTTTGAAAATATATATTTCTAAAAAAAATAAAAAACAAAAAATATAAATAGTTATAGAATACCTAGGTTTCTTAATAAAATTGGTAAGGCAAAAACAATAAATGAGAACGTTTACAAATAGGTCTAATATTTATGTTTCTTATTTTTTGTTTTTCATTTACTATTTGTTAAGGAAAAATAATGGTGCTTACTAATTAGCTATTTCTTGTTTCTTATTATTTATCTATATTAAAAATGTAGAAATATATTTGATAATTATTTTTCTAAATTTTTAAATTGAAAAAGTAGATATTTTATATGAAATTGATTTTTTCAAGATATTCAAAATTTTATGTTACATACTCGTAGAATCCTTTGTTATCTATATTTTGGAAAAATATCGTGAATCAGAACAAGAAAAAATAAATTTGATTTTATTGTTTTCAAAATCTGTATAATTTAAAAAAAAAAAGTTTCTTGAAAATGATGGATGAGAAACAAAACTAGTTATAAACATCTATACTTATTAAAAATTGAAAATGAAGAGTAAGAAATAAAAAATAAGAACGTATCAAATGGACCTTAAATTTTTACCATTCCTTTTTGTTCAGAGAATAACACATTACTACTGTGAGATGTGAGATGAGATGAGATGTTGTGTGATTTTGTAATTGAAACTTCTAACTTAAGTTATTGATGTGGTAAGACATTAAGTCAAAATGGATTATTTTTTTAATAAATTGTAGTTTTAGAACACTTTAAATGGGTACTAAAAAAAAGAAAAAAAGAAAAAAAAAAGAACACTTTAAATGGATTTTTTCTAATATTACTATTTTAAAAATAAGTTTGAACAAATATTCTTAAACCCAAACAGTCACTTTTATTTATATATAGAAAATCTTGAAAAAGTTTTCTTGAATTATTTGTATAAGATTTAGAATATCATCTCTAGTTCCTTACATGTCCAAACAGTCATGCCGGATACTTGAGTGTATTTTTAAGAAAATATTGGTAACAAAAGGAAAAAAAAAATTTAAAAATACTATTTTAATCCTATTTTCCATTTTCAAATGTTTATTTTTGTTTCTTTATTTTATTTTATTTTATTTTTTCTTCATTTCAGTTATTATTTTCAAAACTTTTATTTTGACATGTTTCTTTTAAAAATACATTTGGATTCATGTGTCTATCAAATTTTAACACAAATATTCTAACGCAACGTAGACCTAAGTGGTCATATTGGATCCTTGGGAACCATCACAAGTACGGCCGGCCTATATTTGAACGAGAATGCCGTGTCGTCCAGCGAAGCCTAGAAGAARGTGACTCGCGCAGACAGCTGACTCCTTTTCAATAGAAAGGAATAGCCAAACCAACCCAGCTGGCTGGTCAATCTCAAAGATCTTATCGGCCGGCAAACCGGAGACGGACGACCACGGTCCCGACCTTACCAGCACCGGAGGTTTACTAATCAATGAACCCCCGAAACCTACTTTMTTTTCTGACAAAATCAACCAAGCCTAACCGGTCACGACATGTTGTTGATATTGATTGAGTTTGAGGGACTTTCGTTGACTGAATCCATCCATAAACCTAGACCCTGGCAACCTTCGTAACCAAAGCGTCACGACAACAACGAAAATCATTTAATATAAGTTATCGTTATGTTTTATGAAATTATTCCGTATATTGTCGTGTTAAAATTATGATCGAATGAAAATGAGATAAAAAATAAAATGAAGGGATCAAAATGACTTTTTTTTTTCCAAATACACGGACTAAAATAGATATTTTGAAAGTCTATAAACTTCTAGTTAAAATAGTAGTTGGGTCATTGTACTTTCAACTTTGTTTAATTTTAGTCCATGTACTTTTCAAATGTTCACTTTGGTCATTATACTTCCAACTTAGGTTCATTTTGATATTTGTATTTTCATAATGTTCGTTTTTCACCATGTAGTTTTAAAAAGTGACCATTTTAAGTTTTCAAAATTTTAACACAAATTCTAAACTTAATAAAAACTCATAATATAAAATCATGGTTCAAATTGTGAAAGAAAAAAAATAAAGTTAAAAGGAATAAAATTGCCACTACAAGGATCAAAATGAACTAAAATTGAGAGTACAGACAAATTTTAAAAATACACTAATCAAAATAAAATTAAAACTGGAGACCAAACTAATATTTTAACCTAAACTATACGGGAATAAAAAATTGAACATCCAACTTTTAAACAACAAACAAAATACTTTAACGATGGAAAACTTCAGGAATTTTAAAATGAATTATGAACATCAAAATAAGAACAAAAAAAAATGTTCTAAAGCAAGAATCGAGTTGTTTACCAAGCCATAATTTCCTTTTCCTTTTTATTTTAAGTAAATTTTGGAATCTGGAGGGTCAAAAAGTTAAGTTAGTTACATTCAACGTTTAAAAGATTTTACATTTGATATTCGTAATTCGGATTACTGATGGCTCAGTGAAGAACCCTCCAAAAAATGAAAAATAAAAATAATAGAAATAATAATAAAAAAATTCCGCGAAGGATTCTCTGGGGACGTCATAGTGGTGACGACGACGACGACCAATTTTTGCAGCAAAGGGTCTATTTTTTCTGGTATTTGTCAAAGTGTCATGTCCTCAATTACTAATTAATTTTTTTTTAGCACGTCAGAGATGACTGATCGAATTTTTCTTTATAATTTTAAAAATTTCAATCTCGTCTAAATTTTAAAAACTCAATAATATATCCCCTAAACATATTTTTAAAACTCACTCACTTATCTTATGTTGTATTTAGCCCTAAACAAAAATTATTAACAATTATTGTCACCTAAATTGAAAATATACCATATATTTTAAAATTGAACACTCTAATATATCTTCTCACATATATTCATTCTCTAGAGGTCACAACAAAAGTCATTTCTAAATATTTAAATACGGTATACTTAGTTAGTTACATGAGTGAAAAATACTCATAGATTAATCAAAATTAAAGTTACCCCAAAACAACGATCAGCTGCTACAAAATACTGTCAAAATATCCCAAATTTAATCCTTCACATACATGGCTAAATCTAAGAAGAAAAAGGCGGCCCCATAGCATTGACACGCTATCCTTGACATCTCACCGCTACGAGTATTGTAGCGTTAACCACAAAACAAAAAACGCCCGCACGCCTCTTGATCTCTACCTATATGTTTGGAGCGTTAAGATGTTCTTTGTAGCATGGCACTAACCTCTCGGCCAGAATGGCCGTGTCCACCTATTTTTCATCCTCCTTCATCCCTACGCATCCAGACTCGTCTCCGACTTGTTTTGAGCTGCTTTAGCTCCACAAATCTCAACATATTTATTATATTTTATCTTTCATGGATCCTTAACACGCTTGCCTCTTTTAGGTTCACTATTTTGGTCGAATCTCATTTTTGAATGTCGTTTTAATTTTTGACTTTGATATCATATTGATATTTGTAAGATTCTATTTTAAAATAAGTTGCGAGAAGAAGAGTAACATCCTAATATTATAAATTATTGTTAAGTTCTCTATCTTTTCTATGGGAGAATTATATTTACTAGTCAGAACGTGAGTTTTATCCTAAATATAAATACTTGAAAGGCTTGATATTTTATTTATTGAAACTTTGGAAGGTAAAGCAACAATTATCGGTATAAATTGTAATCTGAAAAGAAAAGTGGACTTATTCGTATTGATCCGAGAGATGTTAGGCAAAGCAACAGTTCTCGGTATAGATACGTACCAAGCAAAAGCATAAGAAAGGTTCAAAATTTATTATTTTTTTTCAAATATTATACTTATCCTTACCCTATATATTTTATTTCGTTTACTTTTAAAATCCTCGTTCTAATCTTTATATTTTTAAAAGGGATCATTTTTATCTATTTATTTTCATTTTTATTTCATTTATTTCGATTAAAATTTTAGCACGACAATTCAATCATTAATTTTAGTCAAACATAACTATGAATTTGTATTAAAAAGTCCCACTATGTATAAATTAAATTTTAATCCTAAGTATATTTGAAAAGGATTTTAGAATTAGTAATTTTAGTAAAATAGATTTAATGATAATTTATTTTGTGAGGGTGATTTTTAGATAATTATTTTAACTTTTAGTTACACTTTTTCCAAGTGATTTTTGTATAATTAAAAAGTTTTGTCTCTCACCCTCCTCTAAAATTACTTAAGAATTATCAAGTATGTTATTTCAAAATGGTAGTAATTTTGATACGGGTAAAAAGGCTAAAATCACTCTCAAATACACCCTAATTTTATGTGTAAAAATTGATTATTTTCTCCCTAACTTTTAATCAGGTTCATTTTCGACGATAAGAATACAACTAAACAAATAAAATACTTATTAAATTCTTTAAGATTAGAAATTCATGATAACCTAATCTTAACATAACTCAACTAGTTATATATCTCTAATCAAAAATAAAAAATGTTTAATCTTACCTCTATATTGATTCGACTGACAAAATAACAATTAGAGCTTAATTCTCCGAACAAACCGTATTAAAATATACAAAACATTGAAAAAATTCCGAAGAATTGAAATGATACTTAAATAAGTTAAATACTCGTATTAGTTCCGTATAATTTTATGATTGCGATTTAGAGGAATTTAATTCGCTTGGGATTCCATTCATAAATAGAGATTCCCACGCAACTTGGGAAATGCTCCAATCGCAAGACAGACACTTGTGGGGGCGGAAGCAACAGATAGTAAAAAGTCGGTGTTTCAAAATAAAGGAATCAAATTCCACGCCCAGCCATCTCTTTCCAAACTTTGCGAGAAAAAATGTTTCTTTCAAATCTGAATAAAATTTTCTTCCATTTTTTAAATGCCAAATATCTTTTTTACCTACGATACGAATTTATTCTTTATGACTATTATATTTTCATTTAATTTCCTCGATCTTCGCTAATCCATAAAACTCAATCATTAATCAACTGAGAATCATGTTAATCAATGTTTATTATTGTGATCGAATATTTTGAATCTTTCAATTTTTTTTTATTTCTCTTCAAGCTATTTTAAAAGAGACATAAATATTATTAATTTAAACCAAAATGAATCATAAAGTTGTTGGTAAGAGTTTCTTTTAATATTCATCATTTCATTGCCAAAGAAAGTATAGTTCAACTGTCTCCAACCAAGAGGTTGTGAGTTCGAATCCCCTCCCCAACATGTTGTATTAAAAAAAGTAGTTAGTTGATCTATACTCGAGGCTCAATTGATGATTTAGACCTCTAATGTAGAGGTTATAGCTTGACTGATACCTTAGGTGACCGAAATAGGAGATAAAAGTCAACTTGTCTTCTAACTAAATGACTCGTGATCGACTTCTATAGATTGACTCGGCCTCTGCAACAGGGAGGTTCGATGTACAGTTATTTCAATGTGTACATCTTTATATTGACTCATCATCATCACCATGTCAGATGTCGACATGTGGCTGGTGAGAAATCACCTCTAACACTTAGAATTTCATTGGAGTCACAAAAATATTTTGAAAAAGTGAAAGAAAGTTAATTTAAAAGAATAAAATTGATGTTAAAAAAAGTCTTTAAATTACTTACCAACCATTTTTTTTTCTATGAATTGTTAATTTTATGCAGTAATAAAGTAACATATATCAATGTAAAAAGAAACTCATAGGAAAGAGAAACATAACGCTATGATCTCTGTCTCATGCAGTGGCTACAACAATACCTTTTCAAATGCGCCGTAAAAATTCCTGTGAAATCCAGCTGGGTTGGCCAACCCGAAAATTCAGAAATTGCACTGGTCCAGTAAGGCCCATCCTTCATCTCTCATCCCAGAATCAAGGCCCAATCGAAGCCCATTTCTAACTTTCAGGCCCAATTGCACAAAGTCATACTCGATGGTATTAAAATTTAAAAATAAAAGAAAATAAAAATAAGAAGAAGAAAGAAAGAAGGCTGATCTTTATTGTTAAGAGTAAAAGAAAGTGAAAAGGACGCATGTATCCTTTTAGCCAAAAGAGGAGAATTATAAGGGAGAGATAAAGGTAAAAGATTTGAAAATAAAATAAAATAAAATAATTAAATGACATATAGATATAAATGTTTTAATGGTAACATTTTAGTCGATGTACTTTCATATTAGTAACAATTTACCTGAACTTAATAGGTAACAATTTAATTTCTATAGTTTAAAATTTGTAACAATTTTGCTTATACTACGAAAATTCTCAATTTATCGATCTACATATATAAAAAATTTAACAAAAAAAAAAATTCACAATGGAGACTAAAACATTAAAAACTTTAAATTTCAAAGACATGTTACATTTTAAATTCCAATGACTAAATTGTTTCCAATTTAAAAGTTTGGGGACTAAATCGTTACTTCAATTAAAGTACACGGACCAAAAGTATTATTTAACCTATATAAAATTAATAAATTGGAAAAACATAAACTAAGATTCTTGCGGTTACAATTTAAAAAAGATGTTAAAGCTAAGTATTTCTTTTCTTCTCCTTAAATTCATTTAACATCAGTTTTCTCGTAACATTATGATAATTTATAATTATAATAATATTAAAATTTGTCTTTGTTAAGTTTAACTAATCAACAACGAATCCGGGCCAAAAAAATAAAAAAAATTTATCGGTCAATTTAGTTCCCAAGAAAGAAATCGCCAAAAAGAAGAGAGAAAAAAAAAATGGTGCAAGCACAACTTTCACTTGAGGAAAAGAAGTTGGACCTCCCATTTGGTAACAGAAAAAACTAACCTTTAAAATCTTTTCCATTTTCAGCCCTCTCTTCATCGCTATAAATTCACCTCAATTCCACACTCTCCTCAAACCAGAGCCCAAGGGGCATACCAATCTTCTCTCTACAAAGAAGCCCCAACAGCTCTGCTGTTTATGCAAAAAAGAAAAAAAAAAGAAAAAAAAGTTTAAACACCCAAAAGATTTTTTTCTCCTTTTTTTTCCCTTTTTCAATAAGTTGTTTATTCACCGTCCAAGATGTCTGGTGACGACGGTGGAAAGAAGACAATTGCGATCGTGAGCGTTTGCGCTCTGGTCGTTGTGGCGATGGTGGTGGCCGTCGTAGTCACCAACTCTAAAAGCGCTGCTCCGTCCGGTGGCGAAATTACAACTTCGACAAAAGCAATCAAAGCAATATGTCAACCCACTGATTACAAAGAAATTTGTGAAGAAAGCCTTACTAAGGAGGGAGTAACCAGTACGGACCCAAAAGAGCTGGTCAAGTCGGCGTTCAAAATCGCCACGGATTACGTAAACGGGGCGATTCAAAACTCCACGACTCTGAAAGAGCTGGCCAAAGATCCACGAGCCAACCAAGCCTTACAAAATTGCCGCGAGCTCCTTGAGTTCGCCATTGACGACATCAAAGAGTCGTTTGAAAGAATCGGCACATTCCAAATGGGCGAAGTCAAAACGTTCGTTGAGGATTTGAAAGTGTGGCTCAGTGGTGCAATGACGTACGAGGACACTTGTTTGGACGGATTCGAGAACACCACCGGCGAGGCGGGTGAGAAGATGAAGCAGTTTTTGAAGTCGTCTCAGCAATTGACCAGTAATGGTTTAGCCATGGTCACCGAATTGTCCAAAACTTTGGGAGATCTTCAGCTTCCCACATTGGGCCGACGGCTCATGGGCGAGGACGACATCCCAGAATGGGTCAGCGACACCAATAGGCGGCTATTGCAGGCTGGGCCACCTGCAGTTAAGCCCAACGTGGTGGTGGCGCAAGACGGAAGTGGGAAATACAAAACCATCAACGAGGCTTTGGCTGAAATTCCTAAAAAGAGTAACATCACCTTTGTGATCCATGTCAAGGCCGGTATTTACAAGGAAACTGTTGTCATTACGAAGGCTATGACCCACGTCACCATGTACGGAGATGGCCCCACCAAAACCGTCGTCACCGGTAGCCTCAACTACATTGACGGTGTTCAAACTTTCAAGACTGCCACATTTGGTAACTTCTCCATTTCTGCACCTATATATCTATATGCTAAACAACATTGAAAGAAACTAATTTGATTTGTGAAATGCAGCTGCCATCGGGGCCAACTTCTTCGCGAGAGACATGGGTTTCGAGAACTCGGCGGGGCCAACTAAGCACCAGGCCGTGGCGCTGCGAGTCCAATCCGACAGATCGATCTTCTACAATTGTCGAATGGACGGATACCAAGACACATTGTACGCGCAGACCCACCGTCAGTTCTACCGTGATTGTGTCATCACTGGCACCATTGACTTCGTGTTCGGAAACTCTGCGGCCGTCTTCCAAAACTGTCAGCTGGTGGTCCGAAAGCCAATGGACAACCAACAGTGCATCGTGACGGCTCAAGGTAGGCTCGAGGAGCGTGAGCCAACCGCGCTTGTGTTCCAAAGCTGCCACTTCACATCCGACCCAGCCTACTACCCACATAGAGCTGTGAACAAGGCCTACTTGGGGAGGCCATGGAAGGCATATTCTCGCACCATTATCATGCAGTCTCAAATCGATGACCTAATCCAACCCGAGGGATGGCTGCCATGGATGGGCACCTTTGGGCTTGACACATTGTTCTACGCCGAGTTGCAGAATACTGGACCGGGGTCGGACAAGAGCAAGAGAGTTAAGTGGGCCGGTATTAAGGAGATCACACCAGAGCAAGCCCTTGCTTTCACCCCCAAACCCTTCATCGACGGTGATGCTTGGATCAAGGACAAGAGACTCCCCTACTCATCGAATATGATGTTAGAACGAAGCCGCACTCCAGTACAATAAATTTAGACCCTATAAACGGGGTGATGACCAATTTTCCAGTGATTTATCTCTTGGGATTGTGTATAGTTTTTCAGTTGCACCCCAATCATTCATTCAATTAATTTGATTTAATTATATCTTGTTTCCTCTTGATACTTCAATTCTGAAAAAAAAAGTGACGCAATGCAATCAAACATGATAATTTAAGAAGATAAATGTCAGCGCAAGTCGATGAAAAAGGTAAAAATTAGTATACTTTTTCATGAAATTCAATCATTAATCAACCGTTGTTACACTCTTCCATAAATTCAATCATTAATCAACCGAGAATCGGTGGGTTTCACAAATGTAAAATGTTTTAAATATTTACGAATCTCAGTTTTTTTTTCCTTCTCCTCCTCTCAAATTGGCCTCATTTTTGTTGAAATTTTCTTAATATTTTAACAACGCACTAAGTCTTGGGAATTATTTATTTATTTATTAAAAATATATGAATGTATGTAAACTTGATAATTTTGTTAAATATTGCAATGTTTCTCATGGCGTTTATTTTTAATCTTTCAATTTTATTGTTTTTCGAGATATTTTAAAAGAGATAAAATATTACTAATTTATAATTTTATTGTAAATATTTAAAATAATAAAACATTTATGAAATATTATGTCAATTTTAGAAATTTCACTTTTTGATTTTTTTTCTAAACTATTAATATATTTTAATACATAAAAGTAATTAAGTAAAGCGACAATAGGAATTGAAAAGAAAAATCCAAATACACCTCACATCTTGGGGAGCTACCAAATCCTCTTGGTTTCACATCACAAAGCATCTTGATTTGTTTTTAACTCTTTCCAACCTACAGATTGGGAATGGGAAAAATACCTTATTTTGATATCACAATTGGACCACATCCTAACCGCGGGAGAGGAAAGCGGTGCAGGCAAAATAACCATTCATTCCGGTAGTTGATAGTGGAGCAAAGGCTGGATAAAACATGGATAKGCATGCCTTATCATCCAAAAGGATGTAGAAACAGCGGGGTCGATCCCACATCTCATAGAGAGGAGGAATACCAGGGATGATAAGGGATTGCTGCAGGGTCAAGGAAAACCATTCAAGCGCCGAGATGGAGATGGCTCTGCTGCGAACCAAAAGTGTTCATTTTGAAACGTCAGACGATGATTAAATGGTTTGATATTTTTTTTACATGAACAATAAGATTTTCTTTAATTTTATTTTTTGTCTGTTTTTATAAATTCCGATCATGGTATGAGTCACTTTTCTAGTGGTCCACATCAATGCCAGTTTTGTCGAGCCCAGCTTTGGTCTCTGGTTTGATGGTTGTACGTGCTAAAAATCCGATACATTCCTGGGCTCATCGTTAAAAAGTCAACACAGGTAACATATTCCACTGTGGGCATATCCTTTAAAATTAGTTTTAAGTAGATAGGTTCGGTTATTTGAGTGTTTTGTTTGGTGTTTTTATATTGTATATTTGACTATGACATATATACTACTGAAGTATATGTGACATACACTATTGTGGTTATATAGGTCATAATCATATACATTGTTTATACTTATTTGGTTGTTATTTGTTTGTTCAGTTTTTGAGGATTCTATATCATATACTTGATGATGGATAAGTTAGAAAATAAGTATATGCTTTTCTTCATTGTAATTTTGTAGAAATTTTGAATGTTAAGCGTATTTGCTTTAGACATTCTAGAAAAATCATTAATTGATTTCAAATTTTAATTTAAAATTAGAAAGAATCTGACCCCAGGCATCATGAATGGGAGAAGTTTCTCGTAGATTATGCTATTTGATACTAATTGATACTAAATAGACTCAGTGAGATTTTGGTGTATACTATCATTTTTTTTTTGAAGTATGATATATATTATCATTGGAAGAACATCCTGAATATCGTTTTTCATTGATATTTACAATAGAGTCTTTATAAGAATATTTAAATGTATATTTGTAAATCTTTCTATAAAGAAATTTACGTTGGTTTTAGAAATTTCTATAAAGAAATTTTTGTGGTCATTTATATTGTCCACAAATTTATGTTCTACACCAATAAAAATATTTTAATATATATTTGTAAATCTTTCTATAAAGAAAAAAAATAATTACTGTGATGGAAATTTGAAGAACATGTTATAAGCCGAGGTTCTTTTTATTCCTTCATTAAATTGTTTTTCGTCACATCTCGATAGTTTATAAGAATATTTAAATGAGTTTTATTTTAGTTGGGTTTAACTAAACAAAAAGGCAAAGAAATCTGATCGGTCAATTTAGTTCCTCAAGTCAAGGAAAGAAATCGCCAAAAAAAAAAAAAAATGGCACCAACCTTGAATCCTACA